GAATTCACCAATTACCTATGCGCATTTCTCTTGATGAGTAACCTGCTATCCTTGTTTTGGCTGCTGTCAAATGACAAGGACAGCATTACATCAGTGAAAACGATAAAAATAAATAAATAAAAAATAAAGTCTGTTTTTTTTTTTTAAAGATAAAAGTCAAAATGACATTATGTTGGCAATACATTGTAAAATTGTCAATGCTTTCAAATTTTTTATGTAGAAAAGGCTTGTGTTACCAACATAGTTACTAAATTTTTGACTTGGGCCATTATCTTTAAAAAAAAAAACATACTTTAGTTACTAAATTTTTGACTTGGGAAATTATCTTAAAAAAAAAAACAGACTTTGTTTTATTGATAACCTATTTTACTTATTTAAAGTACTCCTCAGCGTGTTTAAATCCAACATTCAAAAACGCGCGTGTTTTAAAGTTATCATGACAAAATCAACAACCCAAGAAAGGTAGGTAAAGTCCAAATGTCAACTTTTTGTTTATTGATTTGTCAGGAGTAGGTACTTGTAGATAACGTCAAATAAAATATAACAAGTGTCAACGAATATCCACTCATACTTTAATTATACTATTATGTCATTGTGGATTTTAAAAACTTGCCGCATTGAGCCTAGTACTCATAACAGCGAAATTCGCTCTTTTTTGACATTGCTTCGATAATTTGACGTTTCATGCGTCAATCAAACGTCAAATTGTCTAACCAATGTCAAAAGGCTATAAGCTAGGCCGGCTTCTCATGAGCGTAATTTTACATTTATGGCGTGACAGCGTACCTGAATGCAGAATTCTGCCATATTGGATACGCTGACACTCTGCCGCAGATACGCCAAAAGTTGAGCAAGGTTCAACTTTTCGCATAAAAATTCAGCGTTTTTAGAGGTTAAGGTTGCAACCGTTTTGTTTTCTTCATTTTTGTAATTTGCAGTCCATATTTGTAACTATTTAGAAGTAAAGCAAAAACAAATACAAATTTGTACAATCAAAATTCAAAGAAACATTCCAAAATTTAGAAAAAAAATATAATTTTGACATACGCGGTGGCGTAAATTCTGCACTCCATGTGAATGTTACGCCAAAATTCACGTATTCAGCATTTGTGCCAGTTATGTCAAGTTTACGCTCATGAGAAGCCGACCTAATTTTCACTTGCGCGAAATTCGCTCCATTTTTGACATTGCTTCGACAATTTGACGTTTTATGCGTATATCAAACGTCAAATTGTGAGAATGAGGCATTAGCCAGTAAATCAGTAGGTAAATTGAATTTTGACTTTGAAACGATTTGCAGCAAATACAGTACTGACAATTAGAAAAAGAGCACAGCTATAAATAGCTATTTCGGAAGAATAAAAGGCTGTCCGTATAATTCACGACGTGTGTCAAAGGACCCCCATACTGAAGAGTTTTTAATTGATATCTTGAAATCTGATGGGTATTGAACATTAGCACAATGATCACTTTTGTTAGGGACGACTCCCTATACACAATATCAAAAATTCAGCAAAATTCCACATAGATCACTTTTCCATAAGAAATGTGCGGGGTCCTTTGTTTACTTGAAAATAGGCGCCATCTTTTTTTCATCGATTCGCGCTGTCAAATCAATATTAGGTGATTTGGAACACATTTCACTGCTCCGAACAAACGAGCTTCATTATCGGTATTTATTTATGACATAAATAACTATTTTTTCAAGCGATTTCCATTTGTAAATTCAGTGCGTACTTAGACTATTTCAGTCTTTTTCTAGAAGCACGTGAGAAAAAAGGATCGAAATAAGTTTTAACTAACAATGCTTCTTGCAGGCTCTGTTTGCCTATTTGCACCAGAGATATTTGAGAGAAATAGAATGCGCTTAGACGACTGCGCATCCGATTTTATGGTAACGCATAGGGTGCCGCCATTTTTATCACTTTTCACTTATGCCGTTTCCGATTAGTAGATCTAGTGCAGTTTTCTTTATTTCTGTCTTTTTCTTCTACAGGTTGATGAAAAAGGATGAGAATACACTAATTAAATCTACCAGCCGGAAACGCCATTAGTCTTTACGTTGACAACTTCAATCTGAAAAATTTTTCACAACATAACCTTACTTTTCGTCGGTTATATATTGTTTTTAGCGATATTTCCTGCTTTTTCTGAGATATTTTTATCAGAACGGTGTTTTGAAAGATTTTTTTTTGTTATTTCTGCTAATTTTTGGAGTAATGATGAGTTGTTCATGACCTATTTCTCCAACACTTAATTTGACAAGTGATAAAAATGGCGGTCCTTCAAATTCGGTCATTTGCGCAGGATAGACCCTTAGGGCGAATTCTCATGAGCGTAAGTTGACATTTCTGGCGTAATCACGTGATAAAATTGTTGAATTTTATTGGTAAAATATTCGCCATGCTAGAGATGTTACCAATTCAAATTACACCACATTATCACGTGAATACGACAGAAATGTCAACTTACGCTCATGAGAACTCGCCCTTAGGGCGAATCCCCACGGGCGTAATTGACGTAAGCGTAACTAATCACGTGATTTAATTTGTGCGATTTTATTGGCGGCAGTGCAGCCATCTTGAATTTTTGACATTACGCTGCATTAGATTTTGTTGAACTTTTCGGCGTAATCGTGGCGGAGTTGTAACGTTTGTTTTTGTAACCAAAGCTGCTTTCGGGTGCCTCGCTTTGAGCGCTTCCGAGTTAGTCCGAAGTACTCCGGTTACAGTTTTAATACAGTGTGACCCGTTCGGTTTCAAGCGTTCGAGTGCAAAACGCATGGAGTATGGAGTATGAAGGTGTAAAGTGTTCTAGGAGCTTCGCACTCTGCATCCAAAAGCGGCTCAAGTTATCACTGCAAGAATCTCCGATTTTCTGAAAATATAGGTCGTACCCAAAATCTTCGTTGCATTAGTTGCATTTTTTTATCATATTTTTCCATTACCACGTATATTTCGTAAGGTTCCTTGAGGCGCCTTAGCAAGTTGCTGTTAGAACTGAAAGGACAGCTTTTATGTTTAACGAATGCTCCTTTGATACCTAACAAACTTTTACTCCCGAAAAACTACAACAACAAATTGGTAAATTTGATTTACAAACCTGGCAAAAAATAAACAATTAATGGCCGTTTCCACCAACTATTTTAGAGGAGCCTTAACGATAAGTATTCCCTAAACTGACATTTCTCCATGTAAAAATGTCATTTTAGGGAATACTTATCGTTAGGGCCCCCCTAAAATAGTTGGTGGAAACGGCCATAAGACATTTAGAAGGTTAGAAAATTGTTTGTATTTTGGTTTTGTTGCACTAAATGCGGCCCATGCGGGATGTTACGCCAAAATTGGCCGATTGCGCGAATTATGCCCGCGGGGATTCGCCCTTATTCTATTCTAACCAACAACTCTACCAAATTTGCACCAAAGTTACACCAGTCTGCACCAGGTGCACCAAAAAGTCAGTTTGTCTCTGTCAGACCCATAAACAAACACATTTGGTATAGAAAGTGTCGGTTGATGCCTTGTTGGTGCAAAAAAACAAACAAAGCTAGTGAAATCAGGGAAACCGTTCGTGCCTGAGTACTCAAAGCGTGGCACCCGAAAGCAGCTCAGGTAATGGAGCAGAAGTCGCCGATCATGGAGCAAAACGGGCGAAACTCGGAGAACAGAATAAATATGATCAAACAAAATTTTCACTAGTGTGGGGGGAAGAGATTCTTATGAGCTCGTAGGTCATTCCAGGTGATGGAGCAAAACTCTCCGATCATGGAGCAAAATGGAGCAAAACTCGAAGAACAAAATGCGCATCCAAAATTTTCACACGTGTTGCAAAGAGAGATTCCTGGGAGCTATGTAGTTTATTCCAGAGCCGTTTTCGGGTGCAGTGTGCGAAGCACCTGGAGCATTTCACGCCCAATGCGCTTTGCTCTCGAACGCTTGAAAATTACAGGTGCATCAAGGGAAACAGGCGGGGAAAGTGAGAGCAGCTTGAGAGCGCCAAACTATGTTCGCTCGAATGTGTAAAATTGTAGCCGAAGTACTTCGTACTAACTCGAAAGCGCTAAACGCACAAAGCGTGGCATCCGAAAACGGCTCGTGATGGAGCAAAACGAGCTGATCATGGTGCAAAATGGAGCAAGACTCGGAGAACACAATGAGTAATTTCAAGTTTCAAAATTTTTATTGGAGGGCAAAAAAATATTCTTTGGAGCTCTGTAGGTCATTCTTAGTAATGGAGCAAAACTTGCCGATAATGGAGCAAAACGGAGCAAAACTCGAAGAACAAAATGAACATTTGCAAATTAAAAAAAAATCACCGTGGAGGGGCTAGGAGAGATTTTTGGGAGCTCTGTAGGTCATTCCTGGTAATGGAGCAAAACTCGCCGACCTTGGAGCAAAATGGAACAAAACTCGGAGAACAAAATGAGCATGATCAAATTCCAGAATTTTCACCCAATAGGCCACATAGTCACTCCATTGTAATGGAGCAAAAATCAAAATTAGTGGAGCAAAATAGAGCAAAATAAGAGCAAAATTATGAGATAATTTTCATCCAGAAATTTTCTATGGGGGAGGCTAACTTAACTGATCCGCATCAGACCCCATTTGTGAATGATTCTTATATATATCCAGACACTGACGACATTCCAATACGTTTAAATAATGTGATATGAAAGCAGTATTTTTTTACAAATTATTATAGTACTAAATTCCAAAATTGAAATGACCCAATGACGACGTTATTAATTGTGCGACCGCCCGAAAAAAACCAACAAGTTGGTGATTTTTCAGCGCCGTATTTAAACACGCTCGCAGATTTTTCCGCCCTCGGGGGTTTTGTTTTTAAAACGCAATTCACCCCTTTTCGGGCCTGGGATTAAATATCATCGTTTTCCGGTAGGTATTACCGAAATGGAAAAGCCACACATTTGTTATTGATTTTGTGCGGATTTTTGCCAAAACAATTTAATAAAGTTTCGACAGCGAAATAACGATACGATTTTATTTTTGTTTAGGTTTCTTTATTCAGGTAAATAGAAACCGATACAACAGCTGTCAAAACACCATTATTTTTTTTTAAATATCAAATTACTCCTCGGATAAAAACCAACAATTAATCAAGATTCCCAGCTAAAATTTGCGTAACATTCTTCCTAGTCTGATCGCCCATATTCCGAATATCCGAAATCCTCGACTCGTAAATTTTAATATTGTGATTCAAGTGTTTGATGCTCCTCAAAATTTTGGCGTTGACTTGCTCGCGCTTCTTTATTGTTTCAACGTTGATTTCTTTGATCGTTACCCCTTGCACGGCCAAAGTGTTGATTTGCTCGGCCAAGAATTTACCTTTGGCCGCCTCTTCTTCGACCAATTTCTGCGTGTCCAAAGCGGCAGCCTTGAGGTCTTCGTACAAACGTGTGTGGTCGCTCACAAACACGGCGGTTTGCGCGAGGTTTTGCTCTTCAAGCGCTTGCACATGTTTCCAATGCTCAGTAACCGCTTTGTAAGTTTGCTCAGTCTCCAGACACATTTTCTCCGCACGATCAGCTTCTCGTTTCTTTTTCAAACCCTCCTTCCTCAGCTCCCGCTTCATTTGAGTAGCGATACGTTCGTGCATTCGATGCATCCTTTCCGCAATGTCCTCCTTGAAAGCAGCCAAAAGCACAATGAATCTTTCCACTACGGGAATCGGATAGGCAAGTTTTAGATGCTCCATTTGACGTCGGCTGGGCATTTTTTCTATGGCCTGTTGCCACATGGCTGCAGGTAATTGATATTCGTCCTCAGGCTCTGTGGCCGAAACGTCGAACAATTGTGGCAACATTTTCTGCTCGATATCGTCTAGGATTTCTTCTCGACGTGCCACTTTGTCCCGTCGAATTTTGATTCGGTCGTAGAGCATCGCCAACAGTTCCATGCGTTTCTGGTACTCGTCCAATTGGTCGAAGCCGTATTGGCCTTTGGTTTTCAGGTCGTCGATCAATTGCTCCAGCAAGCCTTCGATTGTCTCGTTGAATTCTGACGCTTTGCCGCTAAGCTCGTCGGCAACGATTTGCAAAAGGGCATCGTAAAACGCCAAAACACGTTCGCGTTCTCTGGGGTTTTTACGTTTGGCTAGAATTTTTTCCATTTCGTATTGTGGCACCTCCTCGCGGTATTTTTGACTTAGCTGCTTGTCCACGGCCGCTTGTCTTTTCAGCGAAGTGTCTCCAGCTGCCATCGCAGGAACCATCCAATCGTCATCTGTTAGGCTGATGCCGACGTAGGCGAAAGCCCCTTGACCGTTGGGCAAGGTTTTCGTTGCAAAATAAGTTCTTCCAGGCTTGTCGTTGGCGGTAGGTTTGTGATGGATTTCGAAGTCGGTGTCGTTGAGCCATGACGGTTTTTCTACGGTCTCTGGAACACTACCGAAGATCTAGAATATATTTAAGTTTTAAATTTTGTTGATTACTAATGACACCTGTATGAAAGCTGTACCAGAACAGCAAATAACAACAAACCTCTCTAATACACTGGTTCTGGATACAGCTTTATTCAGACTTAGAGACAGCTATGTATACAGCTTCAGAAACAGCTCTCATTAAATTATCGAATGTAATACCACAAGAGGTTTCAGGATTACCAGGTAATACTTTTACCTGTCACGAAACGCGCTACGCAGCAACACCACGACTCCGAAGGAGGAATGGTGTTGCTGCACTGAAAAAAAAAGGTACACAAATATAATTAAAAAGTGCATTGAGCCAGTGAATCTCGTCATTAATATTGAGCCGGTGAATGAATTTGTTAATATTATGAAAAGCTGTTCGTTAAATAGATAAAAAAAAAGGTTCATTGATTTAACGGTTGAATTCATTGTCGCAGCGTAAGGATTCTATCATTTTGACGTATAGAATTCGTTGCCTGAGCGAAATAACTTCTTCAATATAATGTACAAATAACATTGGTTTAATGAATTGAATTTTCAATTTAATGTATGCGGTTTCATTGGCCTAACGTATGAATACATTATCCTAGGCTCAGTTGCATGAACAAGAATATTCATATTATGGGTTATCTGATCTCTCGCTCTTTCCTGCGTTTCCTCTTTTCGGTCTCGTGTCCTTTAGAACATCTTTGTAGCGTTTTTGTTGACCTCCTTGATTCAGTTTTCCTGACTGAGAATATGTTGGGGAAGACATGTTTCGGGCATGCGAACGAGGTGACCTATCAAACGAAGTTAGTGCTTGATGATAAGGGCTTCCAAGTAAGTTGGGTTGGCCTCCTCTAAAACACTAATGTTCGTTCGTCGATCTGGCCATTTAATTCGTAGGATCCTTCTTAGGCATCGCTGGTGGTATTTTTCTAGGCTTTTTATGTGTTTTCTGTAGGTGGTCCATGTGTCGCAGTTATTTATGTAAGTGTTGGTATTACAACTGTATTGTAGACATGAAGTTTGATCTCAGCGCTGATGTCGTGATTGTTGCAAACTCTATCTAGAAGTCAATGGTTGCCTGCGCTGACAGATGGCTTCCGGGTAGTGTCCCACGTTCTGCAATGTTTTCCGTACACTATAAATGAAGAAGTTATTCCACTCAATGAATACCTTAATTTCAAATTTCTTCCAAAAAGAGTTGAATTTAACACCAACACAAAATATAATTTCCGGATAATGTACGATACACTGTCGATAATATGGAGTTTGGGTGTGTTTAATGAATTCTATACGTTAGCATGACGAATAGGTCTATATTAAAACTATTAAATTCATTAAATTGATGAGTAAAGTTCGTTAGTTATAAACGTTCATTAAATCACTAACACATTCGTCAATCTGATGAAACATATTCATTAATTAATGAACTCTTGGTCATTGATTCAATGTATAAGTTCATTGACACAATGAAGAAAGTTTCATAAGCATGATGAACAAACTTTTTGGGATAAGAAATAATCATTAATACAATGGATGTGGTTTATGAATGATCATTCATAAAATCAAGGAATAGAATCACTGATCTTCAAAGAAAGTTCCTTATACTGATGAAAGTGTTCGTTCGAACAATGAAAAATATAAATTCACGGGTTTTATGATAATAATGAACATAAATTCGTTACATTAAGGAACGAAGTCATTAGGCTATGAACACTGATTAATTGGATTGATGAAATATTTCATTTAATTAATGAAAAAAAAAAAATAACAACCGCCATTCGTCAATATTATGAACGATTTTTTTTTCAGTGTGGTAACGCGTTAAGTGTCAGGTAAAAGCATTAGGTAATCCTGAAACATCGAGTGGTATTCAAAAGGTTATACAACGAACTAAACTTCAAAACTTTATTAATTTTTATTATTATTAATAGCAAATGAACAATATTGCCACCAAGCGCGATAATCCCAAAAGGCTTATCACTTATTAAGCCTCTCGTGTCATATGGGAATAATGTACAGTGAGTTGTATAACCAATAGAATAACAGTAGCTGTCATATGCCAAATTTTTGGTAATGTAGCTCTATATAGGCCGAGTTCATTTTTGTCATCTTTTTTGTCGATTTGCTCCGAAATTTTGACAGACACGTGACTGGATAAGACAGTTTCAGTTCACAAATCACGTGCCTGCCAAAATTTCGGAGCAAATCGACGAAAAAGATGACAAAAACGAACTCGGCCATAGAATAGAAGATTTCATTGTGACTGACTTTGGCAGAAAGTCGACAAACAAAGTCACATAACCTATAAATAGCAACGTCAATGTTATTAATTTTTTCAATTTTGGGGTTAAATTTAATAACTATGGAAGTTTTGGGGGAACGTGCGATATGTTTTATCAAGGGGCCGTGAAGCAATGTGTGTTTGGTGATTGTAAAAGTGTTTTGTGTAATAAGTGTAGCTTGTGGCTCTCTCATTGTCAACGAGTTAACGTGAGGATTATTGCAAACTTGAAAAAGTGAAAAAATGGCATTACATATGCATGTTCTATGTTTTGCACAGAACATGTTTTGTTTGTCGACCCGTCTATTAACAGACGTCGCTTCTGACAGTCTCGCACATGTGTCATGTAGACGATGAAAGCTTCTATACTATTGTTTGCCCAGCGGATCTGAGTCTACGGAAGGAATTCGGACGTAAATGTGCCATGTTGCCACGTTTAATTATAAAAAAGCGAAAATACTAGGCATGAAGTATAGTTAATTTGAAAATCCATTTTTTAATAACAAAATATTGATAACAATAATAAAACGCTAAATATTTCAACGTGGTTGTTAGATCTATCCTTATTTTAATCTTTCTTCAATTTGATCTATTGTAAAAAATAAACATTTTCTAAAGATACCATCAACTTTTGACAATTTGGCAAGCAACCGTCCTGGATGAACCTGGATTGGTGGAGTTTTTGGCAGGACCGCCATTGTCATGGGGAACCATACGGTTGTCAATGAGCTAACGTCAACTTACGTCTCGCTATTGGCCAGGGCTCACGTCATTTTATCCTCCCATCTTGGTATATCGATTTATGTTGAAATATCCAGTGGCGGAGATTTGGTCATTGCTGATTTTCGTGTACGAGTTGCAATACGATAACACTTCCAAAAAGTTCCGCACGCAGCTGGATATTTTATGAATGAAATCAGCCATTTTTTTTTTTACAACTGCATTCCCCTTACCGTTGCCCCGTAGATATAGAGTCGCTGGGCAGATATTACCTACTTCTTCTTTGAAAATTTTGACATTTTTAATCAATATATCAAAAAGTTTAGTTGAGTTGAGGAGTTGAAAGACTATTCGTATCTTTCCCTTGTGATTCTAAATGTGACCGAATTTTCAGGATGTATGCCTTATGGCATCAGAAAACGATTCTTTCAGTATATTTTTCGATAAGTTTCGATGTGCTCCCTACTAAAAATATTTTGAAAACGCCATCAAAATCATGCCAAAGAAAATCGACATTTCCTAGCTTACTTTGTAAACTCTCTACCTATTCCATAAATTATTTGTTTTCGACTACGTTTGTTCCTTAATGTTAAGAAACAAAAGGGCAAATTCTCACCTGCGTAGCATCAGATATATCCACATAAGCCGGCGGTTGTAAAAACGGTTCTTCGAGTTTGCCGTTTTGCATGCAAATCAACAAATTGGCCAGGTACATATTCCTGCAACGTTTCCTGTCGACACCCTCGCAAGGTTCGCAGCAAAGTTTCACTATCCAGTTTCGGGCCATCCTGAACACGTCGTGATCGAGGATGCGTTTCAAAAAGGTGCAGGTGAAGTTGCAGTAAAATAGGAAATCGTCGTCCAGTTTAGCTTCGCAGTTTTCGGCCATGATGACTGAAATTTCGATTTTTCTGTGACGCGAAATAAATTATTATTGACGTTTGTGTTGACATTAATGTCATTAATAAAGTTTCATTCCATTTGAATATTTCCTAAAAGCGAAAACGAATTTTATTAATGAAGGTTTCCCTTATAGCAAAGTTTAAGACGTAGATCCTGAGCCCAAAGTCCAAAGTCAGGAGGAGGAATGATTAATGTCCCATAGAAGTTACACTTACAAATTTACATTCGTGTTTCCGCTCGAATACTCCTCGTCTCTCCTTTAGAAACTTATTCGGTTATAAATAAGATAAGAAAGTATCTCACTCTCTCTCCTTGCTTTTATAGAGCCCGAGATTATAATGCACTGGAAACTTTTTGCCCCGGTGCTTCTCCTCTCTCTCTCTGTGTATAAAAATGGAGCGATTTTTGACGTTAAAAGATAAAAATAATACTAAAGAGCAAATGAACCGAGAACGATACAGAAACTATGCAGGCGAAATTAACATCAATATTGCGATAATGTCGGAGCGTCACGTTTCTCATTTCGAGATGCAAACAGTAATCTAGAACCCATTTGGAATGGAATAATTCAAATTGTAGTTCAAAAAATTCAACAGAAGTAGTGTCCCAAATAAAAAATGTATGGTTGAAATTAAATTTTTTGAAAAATTTACCTTTGCATATACAGGGTGTTTCAAAAAAGCTGGTCGTGCTCCAACTTTCTTATTTTAAATTGAATACCCTGTATATTATTCAATATTCAGATTCTACGTCAAATTCTGAACAGATTTTATGTGATATACCCTATACCTAAGTTCAACTGTTTTGGAAATATTGACAGTTGAAAATTGACTTTTTTGCAAATATGTAAAACCTAAACGGTTAACTTTTGAGCAAATCCGATCTTACATTTTTTTCTAAGATTTTCACAAGTTATCATTTGACACCAACTTTGAATTTAACCGAATATTAAATATAATTGGAATTTTCAATCAGAGATTAAATTCAAATTTGATGTCAAATATTGGTGTCAACTGATAGTTTATAAAAATCTAAGATCGGTTTTGCTCTAAAATTAACCTTTCACGATTTACAGCCTGTCAAAGTTGCAAAAAAGTCAATTTTCAACTGTCAATATTTCCAAAAGAGTTGAACTTAGGTATAGGGTATATCACATGAAATCTGCTCAGAATTTGACGAAGAATCCGAATATTGAATAATATACAGGTTATTCAATTTAAAATTAGAAAGTTGGAGCTCGACCAGCTTTTTTGAAACACCCTGTATATGCAAAAGTGAGTTTTTCAAAAAATTTAATTTCAACCATAAATTTTTTATTTGGGCCACTTTTTTCTAAAATGTCAAATAAAAAAGATAGAGGGGGGTGACATTTATAACCAATAACCCTGTACATTATATCAATAAGGTATTCAACGAGAATCTTGGAAATCAACAACAATCTGATAACGTTACAATATTTATGAATTTACTATACCTATTAATGTTGAGAATAAGACAGTTTTTACGAAAAATGGTTCTAAGGTAATTTCTAACATTATGTGTGTTCCAGATTTAAAAACCAATTTGCTATCGGTGAGTGAGATGATGGAAAAAGGTCATGCAGTTACATTTGACAATAAAGGCTGCCAGATATATGACAGTAAAAATTTCCAAGTTGAAGGAAAAATTGTAGCTACTGCATCCAACAAAAATGGGTTGGATTTAATCAATCAATGCACATACTTGGAAGAATTATGGCACCGAAGACTGGGATACTTAAACAGAATAAGTATGTCTTTGCTCAGACGAGGTTTGGCTATTGATGATTACAAGGATGAGAAAGGTGATCAATGTAACATTTGTCTTACAGGAAAGCAAAGTCGTTAGTCTTTCAAAAAGACAAGTGGTAAGCGTGCCAACGACTTACTACAGCTGGTCCATACTGATTTGTGTGGCCTAATGTAGGTTTCATCATGAAGTGGAGCAAGATATATGTTTACTTTAATTGATGATTGGTCGAGGAAGATTTTTGTTTACTTTTTAAAGTCAAAAAATGAAGTTCTTACTGTATTTATCCAAAGTGGAAGAAAGTTGAAGAAACTTAGAAGCGATAATGAAACCGAGTATGTCAATACTTCTTTTAAAGTTTATCTAAAATCATAAGGTATAGAACACCAATTAACCATAAGATATATGCCTGAGCAAAATGGTGTTGCAGAAAGGACAAGCCGGACAATAATTGATAAAGCAAGGTGTCTTATCCAAAAAGCTAGCTAAATTGGAAGAAAAAATGTGGGCAGAAGCTGAAAATACAGTTGTGTTTTTGAAAAATCGCTCTCCTCACAAAAGTGTTCAAGATTCAACTCCACAAGAAAAATGGACAGGTGAAAAAGTATGATTAAAAACACCTCAGAGTTTTTGGGTGTATTGCGCATGTTAAACTAGAAGTGATCACTGATGTCATTTAAGAATCGCTGAAATTTCAGCTTGTAGATTGTACATTGTAGATTGTGGGGGAGTCGTTTCGGCTTTTCAGCCGCTCAGCACTGCTACCTTTGCAGATATTTTGTACGTGACTCTACATCTTAATTTGTCTCCAGGAAGCGTAGACTTCTGCCGAAGGAAGCTATTTTCCTGGGTGTCAGTTGGCCCACTTTTTCTGGTGACAGTGTTGCCCCCTCAAGGAATTTGAGCCTCTTGCAGAATTGGGCTGGACATTCGCAGAGCAGGTCTCTATTGCGTGAGCAGAATCTGCAGAGATCGTCTTCCGCTCTGCCCATTAACCTTAAATGGTATTTTACTAGGCAGGGTCCTGTGAGCAGTCCCACCACTTATCTGATGTCTGGTCTGCTCATGTTTAGGAGTCGTTCAGCTTTTTTTGCTGAAAGGGTAATAAACCTTTTTGACTGTCTGAGTCCCGGTGTGTATATGATGACAGTTGGTCTTTCTCCCATTTATTGAGTTCTTCCATGATATGGCTTTTCATTAAGCCACAGTAGGACTCTGGTCCATGGTAAAAAAAAAAATTTAGCTATTTTTATTAGAAAAAAAGGTATGACCTTTCAAAGTTTTCCAAAATCTAAATCATAAGGTAGCTAACAATGTGTCCCAAGCATATACAGTGACAATTTGAAAAGTAGCAATCGGGAAGATCTCTTAGAACAAAAAATACTATCAGGAAGATCTCAAATTCGTATCGGGGGATTGGAGGGGGATCGAAAATGAGGCATTTTTTGATTCACCCCGCCTCACCTGTTAGGGAGGAAGTTACCTACTCTAACTTATTTTTTTCAAATACGAACCTACCTTGTGTTGCACATCGTTTGATAACTGGTTGTTTTTGACATATCGGTGTTCAAAAATAAGCATATCTACCTATAATTTGTCCAACGGAGTAAGCTAATTACCTAACTTTCTAGAGATTCGTTGCTATTGGTTTCGTGCACATGACGTTACTAGATTGACACTGGAAGTAAGACAACCTAACCTTATACCATTTGTTTATATGGAGTTGGACTCAAATTGGAGTTTCATATGCTTTATTCTTTCGATATTTTTCTGGTGTTTTAGTTATATTTTTGATTGATTTGCTGTTTAATATGTTTATGAAGGCATTTACGTACGTTCATACCTACCTAATGGTTCATACTGTATATTCGGTGGTATTGGTTTTACATCCTACAACGGCAGAATACGAGGGAATTTTGACCCTAGTCTACATATTCTATGCTATATTCCAATTTTCTAAAATGATTGTATTGCATTTTTTTTGAAACTATTTCACTAGAGTGTACGTTTTTCATTTATTTAAGTGTTTGTAGACTGCAAAAAAATTCTATAATAATTATACATGATTATGATAGTAGGTCATATATTGGTATCGAGGTCACCTGGTAATTCCACATTATGAAATTTGCAGGATTGCAGGTATTGGTGCAGTGTAGACCAGGCCGACTAGCTCCGCCATGTTCACTTCGCAGGTTCGTTGGACAGAGTATAGTAATTTTGACTATCTATCTCTTAGACAAAATAATTCTGTCATAAAAGTGTCAGAGAAACTACAGAGAAACCAAATGTGTTTATTGCCTAACCCCTATCTCTCCTGTCTTGCAGGCTTGCCCCCTAATGATTTTTCTAGAATGAGAAACTGCCCCGTGTGATAACTCCTTTGAAAGATTTTTTAATCCTCTTTAGAGGCGTGACCATTTCATTTCAGCTATGATCACTTGACTCTTTATCTGGAAAACACAAAAACAATTTTGCCTGGCAAAGTTGAGGAGCATTCGGCTATTCTATCAAAGCCCCATTAGGCTGAATTCACTTGAAACCACGTAGTGCAGCTGACACCCAACAGCAAATCACAATTCAACCATTTCTCTACCGGTATTCGGTAGTGCCCCACTGCTACACTTACCTTTAATAGTATAATCGTGTAACAAATGAGATCCTAACCTATTATGGCGTACAGCTTCCCAGGGGGGACACCAATTACCAAAAAGAAATAATCGAACCATGATTTGTTACCCTGGATATCAGTGAAACGCTTCTTCAATTATTAAGAGGAAGTTATTGAAAATATCTACCTACAGCCAAGTGCTTAAGAGTCTAATACCAAACATGCTCAACTAGAAGTAGCTTTTGAGCTTCAAAGTTGAAATTTGGTCGACATTTTATCCAAAACTTCAAACTCGATTTTCTCGAAAACTCTAAACGATAGAGAGTTCAGTAAAGTATAGAGTACTACTACTACCACTACTAGTAATACTACTCAAAGTTAGTCAAAATGACTAGTTTTCAAAATGTGCTCACTTTTAAACACCGATAGGTATTTCGAAAACTAATCGTACAATTTAGGATTTTGCTATAAGACAATGAGCTATCCAACGATGTTATGCCCGACGCGGCATGCAATGTGTTAATTTTTTATAATTCTTAAATCTTGTTTTTTGTGGTTTGTTTTGAGCTTCTAACACTTTATTACTGTAATTTTAAAGTAAAACCCAATTATAATT